GTCTGTCATATAGGGTCTCTATGAATCAGAATTGACCCCAGTGCACCCCACAACAATCGTTGCAGGACAGAGATGAAAGTGGCTCATAGTAGGTGATATGGGGGATGTAGAGGATGCCTTGCTTATCGGAAACACCCCAAATGGATGGCTTTAAAAGAGAAATGTATTTTCACAGTAGGAGGCTATACGTCTAAACGTTCATGCTGGCTGTCGTAGAAAGTTGTCTCTCCTTCCAACATCTGTGGGCCTGGTATTTCTGGTATTCCATGTGTGTTAGCATAAATCTTCCCCTTAGTCTAGGACAGTGGTTCTCAACCATCCTAATGCCGCGACCCTTTAATACAGTTCCTCATGTTGTTGTGACCCCCAACCATAAAATGATTTTCAGTGCTACTTCATAACTGTAATTTTGCTACTGTTAAGAATTGGGCAACCCCTGTGAAAAAGTCGTTCGACCCCCAAAGGGGTCACGCCCCACAGGTTGAGAACCTCTGGTCTAGGAGGTTCCCAGGATAGGGAATGCAGGTCCAAAGAACACACTCTGCTTCCTGATCTTCTTTCATTGTGGGAATAGATCTCTGCCCCTCATGTACTTCTCTCTCCTTTTAACGCTTACAAGATAAAAGGTGATGCGGGCCACACTGGTTTACTTAAATTAAATCATGGCTATGGATTGAATAAGTGTTCTGACTTAAATAAGAGTGACGTATCCCACGGTAGAGCTGTCTCATTAACATAACATAGTTCTCTTTAATATAACATAATCCTGCTTCATTAACCACAGACAGATTATGACAAACACACAATGCTGGGAATCAGCTTGGCCAAGTTGCAGCATATTTCGGAGGAACACAATTTTACTCATAAGAGATAGATTGCATTTTTAAGTACAATCTATACGAAATGGTGACAAGATGGATGTGAGTCAAGAGATAAATAGAGAAGTCAAGAATAATTATGTTTTAGAAATCATTATACCATTATATCATTGTTACTGAAATTGTTAAACCAGTATGGAGTTGGGAGGGGATTTGGGAAGTGAAATTAAGAGTTTGGTGTTGGATATATTATAATGAAGACTCCCATTTACAAAAGTAATAACGAATGATCAATTTGATTTGTGACATTGAAGTTCTAGAGAGATGTACAGGGTGGAGAAGGAGACTTTTTAAAGAAGGAGTATTTTAAAACATAGAACTGGATGAGTGATATCTTTTAGTGCAGAACAAAATGTGGAAGAGAAAATGAACATATAAGGAATGAGTCTAGGAACATTCTAACATTTGTACACAAGGAAGAGGAGGAGCCCGCATGCAAAGGAAAGAATCAGTGAGGGAAAGAGAACGTGAAGAAAATCGATCTCTGGAAACCAAGTGAATACAATGTTCCCAGAGGAGGTGAGCAACTGTACCAAGTGCTACTACAAGTTCAAGCAAAATAGCTGAGAAGTGAACGTTAGATGTGGTTATGTAGACTTGTTGACATTCACAACAGCTGTGGACTTGGAAGCCTGAATGGTTGATAGAAGTGCTAAGAGGGGGAAAAATATGCAGTGAAGAAGTAGAGGCAAAGTAGACATCTTTTCTAGACTTCTCCCATAAGAGGGAAACAGAAAATCCAATTATTAATTAGAAAAGGAAGTAAAATCAAGAAAAGTTTCTTGTTATGCTGTCATTGTGGTTGCTACTATTATTGTGGTAAAATTGGAGATATTATAGCATGTTTGAATATTGATAAGAATAACCCAGTAGAAGAGAAAAAATATATATTAAGAGAAAGG